CAATCTATGCCTTTAGCAACATGTTGGCTAACACAATTGCAATTCTTTGTTGAAGGCTTCCCACTGTAAGTAAGGTAGGTCTTTGGTAAACTGAAGCATTAGAGTCCTTTAACTATGGATGCTTTCGGAAGAAAAAAATACTGTTATGGCAAGGAATCAAATCAGGATCTAAGAAATAGGCAATCCAGTTACTGAAAAGGAGAGGTGCGTGAACCAAAAAGAGGTAATGAAGGCGTTAACAAATGAGTCATTTTACACTATAAATGGCGGTCTGAAATTCAAAGCTAAAATGCTGATGTGAGGAGAAATAAATATGGAATCTTTCGAGCGAATACCGAAAATTGGTCTTAGAGATAAAGAGGTACTGCATGCTCGTACATTATGTTAGAACTCCAGAGGCTAGTTTAATGCATTGTAGATCAGTAATGAAAAATTGCATTTCTGCTTCAATAAATGAAGATGCCTATGCAGAGCATTTTCTAGACATTTTACTCTCCCTGCTTAAACTAGGATAATATTTTATGTTGACTGTTCTCCAGAGTTTACTGAATCACCTTGTGAGTATGTGCATCTTGCAAGTGTTATTCATGAAAACCAAAATGGTAACTAGACATCCGGTGCTCATATTTGGTTAAATTTAAAGGCACACTTAAGGTGAACACACATTTAGTGCAATGTGTAGGTTACATTACTGTTATTTATGGTAGGTGCTTATTTTACTCTCAGTCCTATTTATTTTTAATTATTTTGTCTGCCATCTTTTCTGCCCATCTCTTCTACCCTACTGTTTCCTGTTTTGCTCAAAAAGTAAAATGATACATGATGCTATAACCTAGGTTTCTGGGAGTTGCAGTTTGACAGTTACATTTCTACAGCATGAAGTAGACAACTGAGTTACAGCTCCCAGAAACCCTTGCTGTGCCCGTAAGGTATGGCTTATGGGAAACACTCAACACATATATAGATAATTTTGAAAAAAATAATCAACAACTTCCTGGTTTGGTGAGAGTTCATTGCAAATCCTGTACAACCTGAAGTTTCATAACTTATGCCAACACTTCAAAGGCATATTTTACCATGTTACGACAGTGCCGCATCAATCGCTCCATGGCACAGTGCAGAGCATCCTGATGGTTTTAGTTGGACAGAAGTCCAGGGATTAACACTGTGGACAAAATGACTGAGATTGGTACACAAGCTGTTGGTGTTGCACTTCAAGCAGCAATTAGGCTGTTGGTGTTGCACTTCAAGCAGCAATTAGGCTGTTGGTGTAGATTAAAGTCATAAAATACTGTCTGAAGATGTCCAACACTGATCCATGGAGTTTTCACAGTAGTAGCTGAGTGGAGTATCTCAGTATATCACTATGATACTAGGGAGCAGAGAGGCACAAAACACTCTGCCTGACATGGTAGCTAAGAATGATGACCAGCTGATGGAGGAGTCTGAAAGCAGGCATAGTATCTCAAAGTAAAACTTAGATATCCTTGGGCAGTGGAGATACATCAACATAATATTACTGCACTCGGGACACAGTACAGACTGACATGCTCTTTCTTCTCCTTACTTCCTGATTGCATAATCTCCCATTTTATTATCATTTGCTTTAATTATCTGTCACTAACATTTTACAGTACATACACCCTCTATTGTTTTAGAATACGACTCACCCATTACTGTTTCCAGCCACACTGTTGTATTACATAACAAGTTTCACAACAGGTTGAATTTATATGAAATATATGCATGTTTCTGGGGGAGGGGCGGGGGGGAGGGAGGATATGGATTTCAAATTGCATTTTCAAGGAAAGGTAGATCATAGGTGCTCAATAGCCGATTAAACAGGCTATAGGCCAGAAACAACAGCTAATTGCTGAATTAGTGGCGGATGTAAAGATAATGCTGTTTCAACATGCTTTAAGCCAAGCTCATAATGTTTATTCTGATACTTGTTGGAATGCTGTATTTGCATTGGTGGCAAATCAACACAAATGCCATTAAAGTAGCAATGAATGCATTTTTGTTTTTGTAATTAACATTTTATTAAAGTTTTTAGAGCAGCACCACTAGCAAGTTACCATCAGAGCCACAGAACATAAGTTGCCCCCACAGATTTAAAAAAAAAAAAAAAAAGTACCGTAAAACAATATAACAGGTTTCATCTATCAGCAATAGGGTGGGCAGCCTAATGAGAAGGTGATCATGAGAGAGACAGAAGAGAGGATAAAGTTGTAAAGCGATGACAGAAAAGAAAAGGTAAAAGGTTGGACAGCAGGCTTTTGACGGTGGATCCTCCTTCCAAGTCTTGGCCAAATACATTGTCTATTTAAATATGATCACCATGGGACTTGGTGTAGGGTCTCATTAAGGCATTGTGATAATTATCAAACAAGGAGTTCCATAGAGACCTAATCCTAGCGCGGGACCACCAGGCATGCAGGTATGTATGCTGTTCCCCACTGTCCCAAAAGCAAATAGAAACCATACCCGGTTGAACCTTAGCTAACAGAGAAGGGTGGATATACCAGCATGTCATCAATTTGTAGCAGTTCTCCTTTATCAAAGTGGAAGGGGTAATGTGCATAGTGTTAATGAAGATGTCAGTCCAGTCGCTTCCCCTAGGTCATGTTCCCCTGTGGATGTGTAGTGCGGTTGCGAGGGGTAGGCAAGTGAGAAACATGTGAGAACAGTATTCAGATCAGGCCTGGCTTCTTCTGCGATAGTCTACAATTAAATTTAGAAAAAGTACATTTCCCATGGACCCATAGAATGTTCGTACAGAGTGAAGGAGTTGATTTGTACTAAAGTATTGGGGGAGGAGGGGGAGAAACCTATCCACAATATTCTAAAACACCACCGAATTTCGAGTAACCATTTGGCAGATTTCTGTAATGTACAAAGTTGTAGGAGGTGGTTGAACAGCCCATGACCAAGGAGGCTGGTGGACAATCTCCACATAGACGCTTAAACTGTGCTCCCCATAGATAGGGGGTAAGCCTACCAGTAACCAATAAATGAAAAATCTATGGAAGCTCCCCTAAAATAGGGTACTCCCATTGTTGGGGGCTTCCAGAGACCTCTGTAATGCCCTTCCATATTCATCACTGGAAGGAGGTGCAGAATATAAAAGATACAAACACATGCCTTGCAACTTACTAGGCTTCAAAGCATGAATATGCTTGTACAATGGAAGCAAGCAAATAATTTTCAATGACACCTGGATTCAGCTATGCTTACAGACTGGAAGCCTGTTGGAAATGTCTGAGTGCAGATATTATAGAATTGAGTGGAACATCCCTCCAATGAACATCCTATAGTCCTTTTGAATATAACACATGAAACAAAAAGCATTTAGATTCACATATCCATACTCTTGACATATCACTTAACCCCTTACAAGAACACTATAGTTGGAAACACTATTTAATACAACATTTATTTTTGGTAGTAAATGAAATCTATCTGTGCACCTACATACAAACCCTACAAGGTTCCTAACCTAGCACTAACCTCACCCTACACTAGGCCTGCCTCAGAGGCAGGGCCGGACTGGCCCACCGGGATACCGGGAAATTTCCCGGTGGGCCGCGGCTCCTGGGGGCCGGCCCTTTAAAATACTGCAGCCGCCCGAGCGCTCTGTTAAGAGCGGTCAGGCGGCTGCAGCTTCTCCCCTCCCCTCCCCTGTAGCGTGGCCGAGCTGCACTCCGGTCCGCGGTGGCCGGCCGGCCGGAGTGATAGGAAGGGGCACACTGAGTGTGCACTTCCTGTCAGTCCGGCCGGTGACAGGAAACAGAAACTCCGCGCGGAACAGGAGTTTCTGTTTCCTGGATTTAAAGGGCTATATAGTTTTCTCACTTTGAGCACTGCATACAGCTCATCTGTCAGTTTGTGGCAACTAATTTTGGTGCCAGCCAACAGAGTAAAGCCCCATTCATTTAGTGATATCTGGGAGCAGGGATTTAACCCTACTAATACCAAAACTACAGAGTGTTTCATGCCATCCTAATGGTGTTAAAACCCACTATTTTTAGGTTGCCATAGAACGTCCTAACGTCGTGAAGGAGTAAAAATGTATCCGTCGTGCTACATACCTAATTAAACAAAGGGGAGAACAACTTATCACCACATTATGCAAGCATATGTATAGATGATAATCTACTACAGAGTAACTTAAAAATCATAGATTTTAAGAAAACTCATTAATTCAATCATCACAGAGGGTCATGCCAATGGCACAGTTGCCATGAGACAGACTGAGTGAAAAAGAAGAGCAAAATAAACCTTCCTCTGTGTGGTTTTCCTGCACTCCATCACAGCAAAATCATTGCATGATTGTTCCTCTAGGGAATATAGGAACAGAGTGAAAGATATCAATCTGTTCAAACCCCAACAGGTTGAGAATTGTGCTAGCATGTTAGCATCATGTGCCAATCATTTGGGAGGTAGGAGGGAAATAAGCATCATGGGCGCTACTTTAGCGTAACACCCACAAACTCCGAATTCTCACGGCACCAATGGCGCTGGAGAGGTGGTAAGTAGAAGCTTAAAAGCTTAACCAATTAAATATATTTGCTTTACGATAAATTACATTTATTGCCGAGAGAGCTATTCCTTTAAGACCTATACGTTTTAGTGAATTTTATATACACACTTGCATAGACAGAGGTTGCACTGTATAACTTGAATGTGTGGAGAAAAATAGAGATCCATCGCATATAACATCAATTGAACGACATGAATAGTAATTGTTAGTTTGAAGCGAACATTTAAATTCTATCAAACATACTTCCTGAGGTTGACCGCAGGGAAAGCAAGATATTCAATTCTTCCTAGGCCTCTGAAGATCTTTTTTTTATTCTGAAAATGTCTTGCAATTGGAATAACTCTGCAGTATAATATAAATATATATCTATATATAAAATGTATTTATTACACAAACAACTATCTTTATATATGTGGATAAAGATATATATAAAAAGATAAAAATATATACATACAGACTATTTTTTCCCTTTCTTTCTAATCTGGCCTTTCATCCCTTGAGGGAAGAGAGAGCAGAGAGAAAGGATATTGTGTCCAGCAGAACCTGGGAGAGGGTTTTGGATCAATAGCTGCATCAGCGTGATTCTGCTTAATGAAGGTTTCTTCCACCGTGCGGCTTTCTTGCTAATAACAGTAGGTATTATGGATGGCCGCGTGGAGCAAAACATCTGTAGGAAAGACAAAATAATTGCTTCGTTTTGCTTTATAAAGGATTAGGAAGAATCAAAACCCACAGCAAACCGTTTTACTTTGAGGAAGTTTAAGGACAGCTTTTTATACTCCCCTCCTTCTCCCCCCTTCTCGTGTTTGTATTGAGTAAGATAAATCATTAATATCTCACCGCGGGGTGAGGAGTCGTGGTTTGTAATACACAATGAGCAGTAGCTTTGAGGTCAATGATACAGTGCAGGGAGATGTGTATGTACAAGGATATGCCAAGTGCCAACCCCAACTGACATGTGTTTGTAATTCTATGTACAGGTTTCCTTTTCAATCCAGGCATTGTATATTTTATCTAGAGAAACAATACATGTGTCAAATATTCTCCTTAACCAAAATATTATACATACACAAAAATATTGAAATTTACATGCACTAACTTCACCTCCAAACCGATAATTTTAAATTGGGCGCTGAATGAATTTGATTAGTTGCTTGTTCGAAATAGCATAATATCTCCATAACTTGGTACACGTTGAATATTTATTTAAAAATAATTGGTAAAAGGCAGTTAATTGTTAACAATCCAGCATCTCACAGACACAGTTCCTAGGCTAACAAACCAATAAATAGCACTTTAAGTATCAACATACAATATCTCACCTGGCACACAATAATAAAGTATTCAACCAGGAAAGGTGCATTAAGATATACTCTGGTTTCCAAGTACGTCCTGGGGGTGGTTACTTTTGCCCAACATCCACGGGATAAAATTGTATTAATCTTGTGCCTGAATGTTTGTGCTCTATGTAGATTTGAAGAAGAAAAAAAAAAAAGTCCTTTTATGGACCAGTCATCACAACCTAGTCCGTAGCACATTGAATGCCCTGCTTATTTACCATGAGAAGCTCTGCTGAGCCATGTGGATTCCAAATGAGAGTAAGGATCAAATTGTTATGACAGCACAATGTGCTTATCCCTTAACTGGTTAAAATAAAATGTATTCTTAAAAATATGTGCACACTAGTTGTACGTTAGCAACATGTAACTGGATATTATATGCAAGCATGTTTTAATATTGCATATATTTATATTTCTCATGATATATACCAAACTCCAGATGCTGTGGACGACATCTCCCATAACGCTCTAACAGCCATAATGCTGGCAAAGCATCAGTGGAAATATAGCCCACAATATCTGGAGTTCCTAAGGTTGCCTATTCCTGGATCTATTCAATAGCTCAGTGAAATTATTCCTTATTACGTCCTCTATTGTTCGAATTAAGGTCGCCTTTCTGCACCCCCCCCAACCCCCCCGTTATAAATTCCTGCTGCCTCTTCTTACAGCTGTTTGGTATTCTGTGTAACAACTTCCTATAAAACTTATCCTATTCCCTGCGACAGCTCTTTTCCTACCGTTCACCTCCATTGTTTCATATTACCAATCCCTTTAACATGCTGCTCCTCCCATTACTGCATGTAACCTCTCCCTTAAATCATGCATTTTTTCCTTCATCTTCGGTTGATATTAGAATTGAATATTACAGAACACATTCACAAAATAAGACATGCCACATCATTACCGTAGAAATGTATATTTTATTTGATTTAGGATTGTACAGTAAAATAAGTTCTTTATGGTACTCTAAGGCTCTGTAATACTTTATAGAAATGGGCATACTAGGAGGGGAAAAACGCATACAGTATGATTTAAACAGACAGTAATCACATGATATGCACGTTAGAATGTCAGGATATACATTGTACAATGAAAGCAATGTAATGACAGCTCAGTACAAATAAATATAGAAGTTGAACAGTGACATACTTATTAATAGATTTATGTACATATCTGTGTCAAGGTGTTCCACCATTTTGCTGCCAAAAGTGTACAACGCTGCAGAGAAATACATTAAACATCTTGCAGCATTGGAGGGGTTAAGGATGTTTAAAATGTACAGTCCTTCACATTAAAAAAAATAAAAACATAAAAACAAAAGATGTAAAGACAAATCAGTCTTAAAAAATATACACTCTGAAAACTATACAAGTATTAGTCTTGCTTCTTCAGGGACGGAAAATGACATTTTAACACTTCCACAAGACTAATGGTAAAAAGTGAAAAAGTCATTAAAAACAAAACAAAAAAAAATAATCTAAAAAAAGAATATATCAGACTATAAGCCTATTCCTAAGTGTGTATTTTTTTTACATTTATGGCATGCACCAAATATTTGCAGCCATGAAATCGAAGGACAAATAGCAGTCTGCATTACTGGATGGGAGAAGAGGAGGAGGAAAAAAAACAAACAAAAAACACCATTGAATAAAAAACACGTTTAATACAATCTGGAATATGTGTAAAACTATAAATAGGCATAAATTAGTTTTCCATCATTTCTCAGGTTGGTCAGAGAAGGGGACAACGTGGTAATAAAAGGTACTATGTAATTATGCATTATATAGTAAAATAATTAGTTTTTTGGAAACTATGAAATAGGTCTTATTTTCTATCCCATCAACTTGCATCTGAAATTTATTCATAGCCAATTTACTCAGGGAAAGCAACTTTGTTCTTAGTGTCCAACATTGTGATTTTGATGAGTAACCAATCATACCGAACATGTTTTGAGCAAAACAGAGTAGCCAATCTGGTATTTTATAATTTTTTTTTTATTTATATTTTATTCAGTTTAAAATAGCATAATCAACTTTTCCAATATATCTAGTTAAGTATTAAATGTGCTAATCTGGTATTTTATCCTACTAGTTGTAATTTAGTTGTCAATTGACTGTATAAACCACAATTTGTTAGGTCATCAATCTTTTTAATTTCTCTTTTAAATGTTTTCTTTGTTGCCGACTTGGATCTAGTAAATTGCACTTTAAATGAACACTGTAGTCACCTAAATTACTTTAGCTAAATAAAGCAGTTTTAGTGTATAGATCATTCCCCTGCAATTTCACTGCTCAATTCACTGTCATTTAGGAGTTAAATCACTTTGTTTCTGTTTATGCAGCCCTAGCCACACCTCCCCTGGCTATGATTGACAGAGCCTGCATGAAAAAAAACTGGTTTCACTTTCAAACAGATGTAATTTACCTTAAATAATTGTATCTCAATCTCTAAATTGAACTTTAATCACATACAGGAGGCTCTTGCAGGGTCTAGCAAGCTATTACCATAGCAGGGGATAAGACAATCTCAATTAAACAGAACTTGCAATAAAGAAAGCCTAAATAGGGCTCTCTTTACAGGAAGTGTTTATGGAAGGCTGTGCAAGTCACATGCAGGGAGGTGTGACTAGGGTTCATAAACAAAGGGATTTAACTCCTAAATGGCAGAGGATTGAGCAGTGAGGCTGCAGGGGCATGTTCTATACACCAAAACTGCTTCATTAAGCTAAAGTTGTTCAGGTGACTATAGTGTCCCTTTAAATGCCAGGGGATTATTAAAGGATTGTATTCAAACAGTAGTATTAGGGAGATACAATGAGACTAAAATGAGGGGAAAATTTGCTGGTCGGAAGGAAATATCTAACAAAATATCAATAACTCAAAACTTGTAAAATATTTTTCTGTTTTTCCAAAGAATGCTATATGGAAAAACATGGGAGGCAGAACAATATCATATAGTGGCCTGATTTGGCAATTTAAACACAGATGTAAAAGAGGGATTGAAAAATAAAATGCAATTTAAAGCCATGAAAATTAGTTTTTCTGCCTATAGTAAATTTTGGTCCTACACTGTATTTCATAAAAACAAACAAAAACAAATTATATATTTTTCTGAGAAATAATCACTCACTTACTTTAAGGGACATTCCAAACATTACATGACAGAACATACTTTTATTCTGCATATTGCCAGATGCATGTTATGTACATTTATAATGCTATACCTGCCCCCATTGTCTTTCACTTTCAAGAGTAAAAGATGAAACACTTAGCAGTAAAAGTACTGCTGTATGTTAACCCAGAAGCCTCTGCATCGTAATCTCTTTAAAAGGAAATGAGAAGCTTAATTTGCTAAAGAAGATAACATTTCATTTTAACTGTAACTAGTAAGTGGCTTTCCATGAATGCATGTATTTTCACAATCGCTTAATATTCTTTAAAGTGAAATTAAGGGAAGTCCAGAAAATAGTGATCTACAATTTCTTAACTTAAGAGCACACCAAACCATTTTTAATTTTTTTTTTTATTGAACATAGGTTTAAAATATTACAATAAATTGGGTAGTAAATTTATCCTGGAGTACCCTTTTAATAAATGCAGACTACATTAACGTGTGTACACAAAAATGGTATTTCATATTAATCTTTGGCTTTGAGAAAAGGCTTTGGCTATGAAAATATATATATACAGATATATAAAAAAACCCTAATTTACAAAAAAAGCAGTAAAAATAAACAAAATTGCACATTAACAAGAACAGAACAATAGATGCTAAAAAGGCACAAAGCATTGCAATTACAACCAGGGGAAGGTTTAAAATGCAAAATTATAAAATAGGTTATTTTGTGGCAGAAATGTGTATATTTATCAAAGGCACAGATTGGGTTATTGTAAAAGGCACTAAAGACCCACCCCATCCCTCCACGTCTAAGAGGCCAACTGATCAGCCAGACAGTTCTGTCTGTACAACAACAGTGCTTTCAGTTAAAACTTCATGTTTACATGTGATAAAAATTGAGATGGTTTAGACCTTTAACCCTTCATGTGCACAGGAGTAATTGCAATACAATAATGCAGTGCCAAACTTTGTGGCAGCAAACAGTTTAAAAAGTAATATAAAAGTCTTTGACCAACACAACTGGGAGCATTTGAGACTTTTCCCTATTGAAAAATTCTTTATTAGAATTCACCCTTCATACAAAAAACAAAAGACATTTGTGACTCTTCCAGGTAAAGTGAACAAACTGCAGCAATACCAACTAATGACATATCTGCATACACACACTGCCAAAGTAATACTTACTGAGACAGGTGAGTGGATGTCAAAG